CCAAGATTAGACAGTTTTTTGCGGTGGGTTTGGCTAGTGGTCGTCCTGAAAGTTTCATTCAAACGCCCAGCATGCCGTCGGACCACAAAAGCGTCCACGGTGGAGAATAAGTGCCTGACTTGTGCATCGCACTCTGTCACCCTAGTCGTTAACTGTTTCAATGAATTCCTTTTACTAGCCAGTTCCTTACAAAGAAGTTTATTCTGCCATGACTTATAGAAAGAGGACGTATGTAGACAACGTTTATATAGTTTGAATCTAAGGAATTTAGGAAACACACCATATATCTTACATTTAACCAAAAAATCGATATCTAACGAAGTTTTCGCGGACTTCCGAAGAAGGTCGCAGTACTTCCTGAAGCAATGGCATCCTTCCTCACCGTATTTAGATCGTATATAAGTACTTATATCATTAGTCTGCTCATATCGCAAGTTCACAAGGAATTTAAAAGCAAAGAAAACGGCAAGAAAATTCACCATATCGATATTGAAAACGTTTCGGATTTCTTGGCGTTTTCTTTGCTTTTAAATTCCTTGTGAACTTGCGATATAAGCAGACTAATGATATAAGTGATTAGTTACTATATATACGTTTTATCAAAACGGCTTTATATTGATTGCATAATCGTATCACGACATGATTTAATTATGACAATGAGTAATGAACTATTACCATTTGGTGATGTGTGGACTTGTAGAAGTAAACTTTTTTCCTCATCGTAATAATTTGTATGAATTAGGAGTAATATATGACATGTGTTGAAAGAAGTGCAACAAATTCAGGGTGGCCCAGTGGTTAAAGTTCAGAGTACCAGGATTGGCGCAGAGAGGCGCGGGTTCGATCCCAGCAGCTCTCTGCGCCAGTTTCTGGTCAGAATCGGCAAGGAGGCCGGGCGGTTAAGTACAGCAGAATTGTTGCAGTGAGTTGCGAGTTCAAGCCCGCAACAAGCTGTGAATGTTCTGCGATGTTAAGAATCGGCGACAGGCCTACTAAACGCTGAAACCGCTATTATTATTATTTATTTTAAGCAAAATTGCGGTTAACTAGTCTCTATTCAGGACACCAACTAGAAGATGACGATTTATTGATTCAGCAAGGGATTGATGAAGTGCTGAGTATAAGATAATCATCGAAAAAAGTATGTTTCTATCGAGAGTGAAAAATTCTTACCCAGTAAATTTTTGATCGACTACTACATTAATATGGATGGATTCAAACAATGACAGAAATAATTTAAGTGGGCTCGACTTGGGATTCATCACTCTGAATAAAATCTTAAAAATTTCCTATGTTTCGTAAATCAGATATATTTATCAGCTATTTTTATAAATTCTACGAAGAATATGGGATTTGGTAATGAAATTAATTTAATATGATCCGGGCACTGTTTTTTTCCTCCGCCACGGAATTAGCATTGCCGGCAGCTTGCTCATGCTGATGATATTTGTAAACACAGCACGGTTTGACTCGGGGCAGGTCAAATTTTACAGGGAAATCCATTGAAGCAGCTCTTGAGGCCCTCCCCATTTGTCTCTTGAATGATGGTAGCTTCCCCACTTACATAGACAATCATTGTGGTACCACCTCTTGCCTGGACTTGGTCATCCTTAGTTCTAATCTGTCTACCAGAGCCATGTTAACAAAAGGGCCAGATTTAGGCAGTGATCATTTTCCAATCTGTTGCAAGGTTGGAACCAGGCTTGTCAAATCTTCTGAAAACGTCCCAGTTAGATGGAAACTATATAAAGCCAACTGGGCCCTCTATCAACAAGCCCTTGATGATGCACTGATCTCCACTGAGAGAGATACTGGGGATGTAGACAGTGGTTGTGCTTATTTATCAGATGCTATCTTGAAAGCTGCTTCATTATCAGTTCCCCANGCTCTGCATGCTTCAAGTGTTTTAAAATGAAGTTTCATTCCCAGTGTCCCGAGTAGCTCGTTCGACGGGGCTACTCGGGACACTCTTTTTTTGCTTCTGGCACCTTACGAATAGCATATGGAATTTTTTTGAAGATGCCATTCGATAGCCCTCGCAAAGAGCTATAAAATGAGCCTAAACTTGTTTATGAAATGTTTCATTGTAAGAAGTTATTAACAAAAAACACTCAAAACCGTCCCGAGTAGCCCCGGTTGACGGTAACTTGTGGCGATTAGGGTTATAATATAATTGCCAACAAATGGACATGATTTGGCTTCAAGACTGCATATTTATTTAATATTTGATTCTTTGTAGTCATGAAATTATAATTCCAAGTAAGAATTTTCCAACCTTTGGTTGATACAAGGATACATTATTTTGAAAATTTTTGAAAGGTGGCTAATATATTCTAAATCATATTTCCATAATACTTTTGTGAAATAATAAATTGTAAATTTATATTAATAGCAAGCATATTCACTAAGAAAAAGTAATTTCATATTTATACTACATGCATAAATATACCAATTCTAATCTTGATATCAGCTAAGGAACACAAACTTGAATTATTTTTTTTTAGAATGGAAATATTGCTCTAAATAACTTGTAGGTATATTATATATTATGTATCAACAATCAAGCAATTTAGGATTCTACTCCAACCTATACTCAGTGTTGATATTTTTTCAGAGAGGCATCAACATAGCAGCTTTCTGCAAAGATTTCAATGCTCGGACAAGCCACTATGTTGAAGGAGTGCCGCTGCCCATAAGAGTTTCTGTCAATCCAGATCGTAGTTACAAGCTTGTCATTCACAGCCCCACAACATCCTTCCTTATCAAGCAAGCTGCTGGCATCCAGAGAGGGGCCATGCGCTACAGTAAGTTTTTTCATCTCAATTTCTCTTAACTTCATTTCATATAAAAACTTATGAACTTTCTTGAGGACTTCAGTTTCAATTGCACTCACAAGATCTTGTAAATCTTCAAGTTTTTTTTTTGGGTATGTGAGGTATTTTTAATGTAATTTTTTTGAGACTATTGTCAAGGTTCATTGGAACAAAATAAAATATGATTCAAATGAGACTTGTTATAAGATATCGGTATTAAATGAAATTCTGACCATAACAAATTTTCTCAGTGGTAGGTGAGGCAAAATTCATGGCAAGGCATAAAATTTGGATCAATAACAAGTTTTTTATGACAGTAGAAAAATATTGTCTAGAAAGCAAAAATGAAATAATCACTAATTTACATGCATTAAATATACCTAGCTATTGTGCATCATAATTGATGCCAAGTAATTTATAAAATTTAAGCCTTTTTATATTGTCAATTCATTTCAATTTTCTGATTTCTTTCAACACATCTTAAGAATGGTTGACAAGTGATTATCAATGAGGCATAATGAAACTTTTGTATTGAGTGAAAACATTCTTTTTTTAATGTTATTTCATCTTTTCTCTTTGGAAAATGTTCCTAAAATTGGAAAAATGCATTCTCTGAAATAAATTTTTTCTAAATTATTAACTGGATTCACTTCATGGTCATGAGTCTGTTTAATGTTGCAGCTGATGAGACGGTGGGCTGGATAACGCTGAAGCACGTGTATGAGATTGCCCTCATCAAGTCCAGAGATCCTCCTCTCGAACTTACTCCCCTCAAGCAGATTTGCGAGATGGTTATTGGCCAAGCGCGCTACATGGGCATCAAGGTATGGTGAACGTAGCACAGTAGGTTCACAATGCTCACTCTTGTCTTTGTCCTATTCATGTCATTTGTGAGATGGTTATTGGACATGCATGCTACGTATATGGGCATCAAAGGGCTCCACTACCCCTCATCATAGTGATGGCTACTGTATCCTTTATCATAGTGATGACTGCCCTTCATCATAGTGAGGACTACCCTTCATCATAGTGATGACTACTCTTCATCATAGTGAAGAGTAGACTGACATGTTCACAATGTTCACTCTCTATTTAATTGTTATGGTGTTTTCTTGTTTATCAACATGTATGCATATGCATCATTCTCTTACAATGAAATTATGGGTAAGTGTAAGGGAAAAAATAAATGTATTCCAATTGCAAACATGCTGATGTAAATGTACAATAAAACTTACATCTTCAATACTTGGGCTCTGTAGCCTTATGAAGGAGCTTCTATGGTGTATTCTAAGACAATCTGTCCATTGAATTTATGTTCATTTCTGTTCATTCTATAAACTTGGTAATATATGTGTGTGCACTTTCACGAGGAAGCTATTGTTATGCATATATTTGAGTATATACAGTGGGGGAAATAAATATTTGTACACTTGAAAAATCGTATTTTAATGTATGTAAGTACACAAACTTAACAGGAAAAGTGATTTAAATTATGTATAGAGACGCATAGTATTCAAAAATACTATCAAAAGAAATTAAATCTCAATGCAACAAAAAAATAGTATTTTTGAATACTATGCGTCTCTATACATAATTTAAATCACTTTTCCTGTTAAGTTTGTGTACTTACATACATTAAAATACGATTTTTCAAGTGTACGAATATTTATTTCCCCCCACTGTAAATATCTACATCTTTGTTGTAACCTATATCTACAACAAAATCACAAAATAAAAGACATATTTTGCTGTGTTTCTCAATTTCCATCTTTATAACAGACGGTGCGCGACTACGATCCTGAAGAATATAAGGAGTTCCTGGAGAAGCAGCGGCTGGTGGTGGAGAGTCAGCTGCAGGAATGTAAAGAAAAGAGAGAAGCCAAGTTGCTCAGGAAATAAATACACTCTCATGTACAATAACTTTTTACATTTATTTAGATTTTTACGCTTAAACTCACTTCTGTCTAGAAGACGTCTAATGGTAATGCTGCTGGCCTCGTGTAAAGGGTTACTGCATCCTTGCCAGTAGAGTCAATAAATGGCGTTCAGTAGCCCGGTAAAAAATGAAGGTAAATAATGACGTTTAGCATTTGAAAATTGTACTAGTCGCCATACTATCCTTGTGCACGAGCTACTTTTTTCACGTCCATGATCTGTTGCCGCTTCTTTTTTTGTGCTCAGATGACCTGAAAAAAATTTGAACCGTTTGGTTCATTGGCATACCTTGCCTGAGAATTTAAATTCCGTTTTCACACTTTAAATTTTAACAGGTAGGGTGTGCTAATGATTTTGTATCCACGAGTAGATTCTTTTTTCTGACGTGGAGGCAGGGAAGTTAATGGCTTGTTTATTTTCATTCATATTTTCTGTATTTCAATTTAGACGCATTATTATCTTTCCTTAAATGTGTGCGTTACTTCTGTACATATTAGCTTCTAAGCAATCAACTGGTGCACTCAAATAAAGCAAAGCAAGTTGTTGCTATGTCTGTCAATGATTCATTCCGTCTTTTAAATTATATTTCACCAGGAACATTTGCTTTTAACGCCAGGCGTTCTGAGATTTCAATACTGGGATTTCAAATATAACAGTCGTGATGCAATCCAGCGGTTGCAGTGCCTACGGAATGATGTCTGCAGTCCACATCTTGTCAGTCCAACTCTGATCCGGGACATCCGATCTACCTGGACATCTGATCTACCGGGACATCCGATCTACCGGGACATCTGATCTACCGGGACATCTGATCTACCGGGACATCTGATCTACCGGGACATCCGATCTAACGGGACATCTGATCTACCGGGACATCTGATCTACCGGGACATCCGATTTACCGGGACATCCGATCTACCGGGACATCCGATCTACCGGGACATCTGATCTATTTTGACAACCGATCTACAAGGACATCCGGTCTACTTGGACATCCGATCTTCCGGGACATCTGATCTAGGTACCTACTTTGATATCTGTTCTACCTGGACATCTGATCTACCTGGACATCCGATATGCCGGGACATCCGATCTACAAGGACATCGATCTACAAGGATCCGATCTACCTGGACATCCGATCTACTGGGACATCCGATCTACTGGGACATCCGATCTACTGGGACATCCGATCTACCGGGACATCCGATCTACCTGGACATCCAATCTACCGGGACATCCGATCTACCGGGACATCCGATCTACAAGGACATCGATGTACAAGGATCCGATCTACCGGGACATCCGGTCTACAAGGACATCCGATCTACCGGGACATCCGATCTACCGGGACATCCGATCTAACGGGACATCCGATCTAACGGGACATCTGATCTACCAGGAACTGCTGTCCGAGTTTCTGTAGGTGTTGAGCTTCATGGGAGATGCGGGCTACAAGCTGTATGAATAATTTGTCCCGACTATTTTTCTTCGGAGCATTTCACGTCACCAACATTATTATATATTGGCCGAATCGAAAGGCTATAAATTAATGCTCTTTGTTCAATGGTAATGAAAACGCTTGTTTTTCAGAATAAGTTTTAATTACTACAGTACTCATGCACACACAAAGAGTTTGTGAAGAGAAATAACAAATAAAAATAACGATTACTTGAGGCATTGCGTTGGACTGACACTTCCGTTGCTGCGCCTCGGGTGTAAAGTGACTTCATAACAATTTCACGGCGCGGATGTAAAGTAACTTTTATAATAATTTTACGGCGCGAATGTAAAGTAACTTTTATAGCAATTTCACGGAGCGGATGTAAAGTAAATTCATAACAATTTCACGGCGCGTATGTAAATTGACATGTTTAATAATTCTACGGTGCGGATTTAAATTAATTTTTAGAATCATTTTACGCCCTCTATATGGAGTAACTTTTCTAACGTTTTCTTCCGTGGTTAATTTATCCAGGGTAAAACCGAGTGGAAGCAAGCTACACTCAATGTATCTAATCCTCACTCGAATAGAAAAACCGGAGGCCCATGTGCCACACAGAAAAATGAACGCGATATATTGTCCCAATAGCGACACCTTTTTACCTACAGCAGAAGCAGAGACCGGAGGTAGCACTGATACGTCCTTTTGCCATGCCAAAGTGAGTCAGGATGTCGCACACCAGGGCAAAAAGTGCATCGGGATTTGGACTTCTCATTCATTTCTCCGCGTGTGCATCAAAACTGCCGCAGACTTGATAAGTGAAGTTGTCCAAGTAAATAAAGTTACTACGAAGGGGAAGTCGAGATATTGCGGGCGTTATTAACGCTAGTAAACTAATGAAGGTAGCTCAAGATTGATAGCGCAAGTTAAACAACAAAATATACATCTATTTATATGAAGAAAAATCCGATTATTCATCCTCATAGAAAATAGTAGAGACATAGTAATACTCCACATTCGAACATAGTTAACACATCGCACTTTGTATCAAACATGTGATGGCGTAAATATACATTACATTATAGACTATACTGCGTCCCAAACGCTGTTAGATGGCGGCGATGGAATACTTATGAATATTGTTCCTGTATTACTCGGAATATTAATTTTGGATGATTTGGAATATTAATCCTGGAATATCCAGCATCTAAATATTTGTACTGGACCAACACTTCGTATCCTCTTAGTTACGACATCGTAAGTCCAGCAGCTGAGAATATAAGTATAATCATCCAACTAACCCTACGATAAGGATCTGAATGCAAGTTATGATCACCTTAACAACTTGGAGAACATTCACGACGCCAGCATCATTCGTCCTCGTTAACATTCACTAGTACGTGGTACGACGAAACGTACGTACAATTCTTAATACAATAATATTTAGATATAAATTGTAACAAAGCTTGATCGTTCTTAACACTAAATGTCGAAAACAGGATCACTGCAACACTATAAGAAAAATACTCATTTTATCACTACTGAAAAGCACATTCAAAAATCTATAAAGATGCTCAAGGGAAAGCTTTTGAAAACTTTTTTTGAAACACGATCATTGAGCAATTGAAAAAATTGCCTTCTGGTTGTGACATTCTAGGAAAAAAATGTTAAGAGAAATTTTACTTCAAACATAACGCGGTGTGACGATCTAACGGATATACGGCCATTACAAACTTAGTAACGATTATTGAACGTGACACTATTGTCCTAAGCTTGCCATTACGAGGGGTATCCTGCCATGAGTGGTAGATGGTTTACAGACTAATAAATAACTGAGCATACATATTATTTATAACCTTCATGTCACCGGCCACTACACGTTAATGCTAACACACACATACAAATAAGATAACACATTTCATGTTCTATGTATGACGCTGCGCACGGAAGTATTTGTAATCTAGTTTCAAACTAAGCGTCACCAGTGAATCTTCACATCGTAACTCATCTTATCTGATATACGGTAATATCATTGAAAGTTCAACGCGAAGTTTTACAAGGTGACTTTCTAGCCGCCTCGGGTTTAAAATTATCTTCAATACAACAGACATTCACGTTATCTTCAATACAACAGACATTCACGTTATCTTCAATACAACAGACATTCACGTTATCTTCAATACAACAGACATTCACGTTATCTTCAATATGACAGACATTGACGTTATCTTCAATATGACAGACATTGACGTTATCTTCAATATGACATTGACGTTATCTTCAATATGACATTGACGTTATCTTCAATATGACATTGACGTTATCTTCAATATGACAAACATAAGCGTTATCTCTATAATAACATACATTGTTGTAAACGTAATTCTCGATAACGCGGTTACATTGCACCTAGAGGAGACCGATACTGGAGTGTTGGAGTATCAGAGTGTTCGTAATGTTTTCACTTCTACCAGGGATACTTGGGCGCAGTGGTGGAGTAAAAGTCGGTGTAGTATTAGGTAGGTGGGCGGAGTACAAGTAGGGTATACGTATTGGTCCAGTAGGTGTTACAGTGGAGCAGAAATGTTTTAGTGGAAGGCAAGTAAATGTTGCCAAGCGCTTAACTAGTTTCAGGACCCTGCTGTTAACAGCTAAGTTTCACGATCACGAATGTGGATAAGAATGCCGAAATTTCATTGGACAATTGCACAGGTCTGTGAACTGAGCATTTCTAACGTTTAGTGCCGTGTGAGACCATACCACACATATTTAGACATAGGTGCTCAATGACTTAATATAAAGCTTTATGAGCAAGAGGAAACACTGAGCATTTTCCATCACGAGTAAAGATTATTTTAGTTCTCTTAGTTTCAGCGTTGTTGACTACGAAGACACTTTCTCACATGTGACTTGTGGTTGGTGCATCAATGGCATCTGTGAGGGTTTTGAGAACGGCATCGGCGTAGATTATAGCGTTCGCTCGCTCCATCTTCTGAGGGTAGTAGTCCAGCGAGTAGCAGAAGCGCCCTCTGAAGGTGTGTAAGGTATGTTGGCACAAGTTCGGCATGTAGTGACATGTCACTGCCCGTAGAAGGCGGATTGCATCCACTACCTCGCCTGTTCCCGGGAATTGCTTGCCGATGTCACCCATGTTGGTGACGCAAAAGTGGTTGTCGTTCATTGACGGGTAACCAATATACTCCATAAGAGTATTGATTTGAAGTATGAGCCGCAGTCTTGCTGATACCAGCATCAGTTTGATGCCTCGCTTCGAGACGTTAAGTTCGTCATGCATGATGTTGCCGATTCTGCGTGAGTAAGCCCAAAAGTTATCGATGTCTTTCTTGTCGGTGGGAATGTCAACGTCTAGTGTGGAAATGTGGCAACCGCAAGCGTCTTTGGCTTGTTCTTTGGTCCAGTAGCGGCGCATGTTAACGGTCTGGATGCCCCCGAAGCAGGTTGACTCAAGTGTGGGGTTGTGTTCGAGCATCAGCTTGTAAAGGGCAATGTTAGCAGCAGCTGTGAAGGCGTTATTCAAAGTTGTCTTTTCTTGCTTGCATCTCGCCATGAGTCTGCTCGTTGTGGTCTCGTCTAGCTCCCTAGGGATGATACGTGTAGATGCCTCGTCGTTCACGGGCTGTTTGAAATGGTCTGTGTAGTTGCTCGTGTAGCGGCCGTATTTTATTACGCCTTTGTAAAAGCGTTTGCAGAAGTACGTGACCATCCACGCGTGGGTTGACCAGTACTTCTTGAGGCGAACGGCCATGCGGTCGTGGAATGGTTCACTGAGATGAGCTTCCACCTTCATGTCAATAGGCTTTCCTTGTAAAACGTCATTCAGGACATTTAGGAACACGTTGCAAAATTTCATGTTGGTCGTACCGTCGCTGAAATTGTGGTGGAAGCCGAACAAGCAAACAAAACGGTACTTCGCTTCAGGGTTCACGACAGGGGTGTTGGTTGAATCGTTGTTGTTGATTTTGACAAGCCGGACGAACCATAACGGTCCATCTTCGAAGTTGAACTTTTTTTTGAGCAAAAGTTCAAACGTGTGCATGATGTCTTCCGTGAATATTTCTTCCACGTCGACTTTGAATTCGTCCATCTCTTTGAACCAGAGCTCACCATCTCTATATCCCACCACCAGTCTCAGGTGAGGCAGTTTTCTGTGCAATATTTGAATGAATTAATGCATAATATAAACAAATTAAGAAACTAAGAACAAATTAAGGAAGAAAGAATCATTGCATCAATCTTTTTGAAATTAAAATTAAATATATCAAGATGTACATTGTTTTGACTGGTAGAATTAGTCTGAATTCCTCGCATTCAAATAAATATGATGCTTAATAATATGTTTACTCAGACCAACTATGTCGAAGCAAATCCTGATGTTCTTGTTGTTAACTTTATTTTTTTGTGCATTAGGCACATATCCATAGTGTTTTACTCAAAATGCGAGGAAAATTAAGACAGCACAAAATACAATTTACCTGACCTTTACCTTGGTTGTCTTCGTGTCATACGTACCTGGCGACCAGATAACTGGTTCTCCGGATGACATCCAGCCCCACTTCCGCCTTGGATTCAAACCAGACGTTGTAGACTGTCGACATGCAGCCGTAATCTGTGGACCCTGTCATGAAGCGCTCCCCGTATCCCATCTTGCGGACCCATGTCCCACTTCCTCCTTCTCCCCGCCACTGGCTGTATCCTCCAGGTCCTAGGTGCAGGAGGTCTTCTTTCTCCTTTTCTTCTAATGTAAGTCCATCAAATTTTTCTTCGACGGATACATCATCTTTTGGCCCCAGAAGGTCTTTTGGTTCCTTAAAATCCTTTGTTTCGCTGCTCGTGGCATTGGCGTTGTTCATAGCCTGGTTGCAGGACTTGCATGTTTCTTTCTGGCTGATGTCTTGGCAGCAGTTGGACTCTCTCCAGTTGTTGTTCTCGGAGTGGCTGAATTGCAAGTTTTGTTTGTTATCATAAATGAAATTGCTGGTAGAGCTAGACGATTGTTGTGAAAGGCAACTAAAGCCAGGACCATCCATGGGGTTTACGATGCTGGGGGAGGCGTTGGGGGAGGAATTAATGAGGTACATTGGGGATTTAGATGAAGGGAAACCGAAACCTGAAAACCTGGATGGAGCGTAACTCGTCACGTCTGGGGAAGTGGGTGCCGCGTGGTTGGTGGGTGACATTGCGGTGGTGGATGAGAATATTGGGTCAACCAAATCTGCGACAAAAAATTGGAGCGTTAGATATGTTAATCTAGTAACAGTTAAAACAGAAAAACCTGCGACGATTACAACGATTACATAGTTACCAGCGAGTCACTATTTAAGGGCTTAAATAAAACGAAATTGATCTCTATTCATGACACAGTTAATACGCTTGATTTTAGTTTAAGATTTTCTTCATACCATTCATAACTTTGAGTCATATTTTACCTCTACTATGAATTATTCATTGGCGCTCGTTTTGACCAATTAATGAAGTTACGAACCCTACTCATGTGTACCAAACTGAACCGATTAGCTGCTGTAGACTAATCACTTTACTAATCCCTAAACCCGCAACTAGTCCTAAACTAGTCTGTAATCCCGCAAATAGTCCCTAATGCGGTAACTAGTCTCTAATGCCGTAACTAGTCTCTAATGCCGTAACTAGTCTCTAATGCCGTAACTAGTCTCTAATGCCGTAACTAGTCTCCTAATGCCGTAACTAGTCTCTAATGCCGTAACTAGTCTCTAATGCCGTAACTAGTCTCTAATGCCGTAACTAGTCTCTAATGCCGTAACTAGTCTTCAACGCCGTCACTAGTCCCTAATCACGTAACTTATCCCTAATCCTAAAATCCTTTAACTAGGATACACATAACTAATCGTTCAGCTTAACGGGCACTTAACAAAACTAAAAAATACCGAATAATACCGAAGGCATCCATTCTTCTGAGCATATTCTGGGGTGGAATCACATAGTCGAAAATTCATGCCCTATGAGTGGAAGAAATTCTACATTGATACACCGACACGGCTTCACCTGAGTTATCGGTGGTTACATTACAACGAAAAAGTTATCTTGTACATCATACCTTGGCCTCCTTGGTCTACCTCTGAACAAGTAAGGAAGACTTGGCTAACGCATACGGAGATATCCGCTATTCCAAAACGACACGTCTACCAGCTCGCATGTTCAGTGTCAGAATTCCGCCCTGGACTCATTGAGTCCACAACAGGGGAAAAGTTGCTACGTTTACCTACTTTACACTACACCACTCAAAACACAGATGGCTTTCCAACCACACAGAACCTGTACACAGGCACAGAGCACTGCAAATGAGCAGGACCGTCCGACACTGTGACACAGAAAACGGACCAACCCAAGTTAATTAAAACTCTGCACGTAGAAGGACGACTTTCAACATCTTATGTACCCCACTTGCTAAAACCTCCCTAAAGTTCAAGACTGCATCAAATATTCTACACTGACACCGCGCACAAACGAAAACAACACAACAAACTGTGAGTTACAATATATTCTGCACTAGGCTGCATTGATTCTGCGCAGAAATATTCTACACAGGCACCCGCATACTTAACGGAAGCATCACACCACAAGATGAGCTGCATACTATTATACAACGTACGATAGTGAGATTATCACATACACTGAAGGTATGTATCCCTTCTAAAAATCTTACCGGAAAGGACTCATTGAAGCACACCGTACAAATTACGCAAGATACTCTACGCAAACTCTCGCACGTCTTGCGCAGCAGCAGCAGCGTTCGACCTGCATTCGCTAATGCGGACGTTCGGGTGCCAAAAAACTGCGGAATCGCAACTTTTTTGCATAGCGACAGGGAGCTTTTTTGGCCCTTCGAACTTCCCTTTCTAGGGAGAGGGTAGTCACATGTTAATTCTTTTTCATGGAGATCTTTTGAGCTACAGCCAACTTTACGTTAATAGCGTATATTCAACACACAAGAAATGGCTGTAGACTAATGCTTATAGAGTATGTTAAACACAAAGGAAATGGCTATACATAACTTAATACTCAAAGGGTATAATCAACCCCATGAACTGTACGCACAATCCAACGGTAAAAATTTAAATTCAACATTCATGAAAATGCTACTCGCGCAGGCATTGTTAATGCTCGTATAAATTTCAGTAAATCCTCATTGTTATTCGGTGCATGATTTGCTTCATCATATTTAATGGTAATACAGGGAGCATAACACCCTACTACGCCTGGTCTTCCTTGTTTGATGCCCTTGCCTTCCCTGCAGATGCCCTTGCCTTCCCTGCAGAAGCCCTTGCCTTCCCTGCTTGATGCCCTTGCCTTGTCTTTTCATTCTCTGCTCATGTCCTTTCCATCTTTGCTCATGCCTTTTCCTTCTCTGTTCATGCCTTTTCCTTCCCTGCTCATGCCTTTTCCTTCCCTGCTCATGCCTTTTCCTTTCCTGCTCATGTCCTTTCCATCTTTGCTCATGCCTCTTCATTCTCTGCTCACGCACTTTCCTTCCCGGCTCATACCCTTTCCTTCCCTGCTCATGTCCTTTCCATCTTTGCTCATTCCTTTTCATTCTCTGCTCACGCATTTTACTTCCCGGCTCATGTCCTTTTCTTCTCTGTTCATGCCTTTTCCTTCCCTGCTCATGCCTTTTCCTTCCCTGCTCATGTCCTTTCCATCTTTGCTCATGCCTTTTCATTCTCTGCTCACGCATTTTCCTTCCCGGCTCATGCAGTTGCCGTCCCTGTTCATGCTAAGGCAGCAAGTGAAAGTGAGGTCAACGACCGCTAGGGGCAGAATATCGAGTCAATGATGTGGGAAAGTGAAAAGGAAAGTTAAGCTAAAGAAGGAAGGGGCAGGGAAAGAAGGAAAGGGCAAGGAAAGGGAAGACGAAAGGGACGAAGGAAGAATTTCAGTTTACACGGGGCTTGTGATCACGTATATAAGAAGATGTTTATGGAAATTCTTGATAATCTGGGCCAAATTTTATGTCGTAAGAAAACAAAATTTTATTCGCGAGTATGAGTGTAAAAAAGTACTTATAAAATTAATACGAAAATCGGCGCTGGAAAAAATCAATATGGACACTTGAAGTTTACTATATATTGCGGAGTGTTCTCACGCACCAACACGAGGAGTGTTCTTACGCACCAACATGAGGAGTGTTCTCACGCACCAACACGAGGAGTGTTCTCACGCACCAACAACACGAGGAGTGTTCTCACGCATCAACACGAGGAGTGTTCTCACGCACCAAAACCAGGAGTGTTCTCACGCACCAACACATGAAGTGTTCTCACTCAGCAACACGAGGAGTGTTCTCACGCATCAACACGAGGAGTGTTGTCGAAGTTCCGGAGTTCCAACAGCTTTTTGTGCGTAAAATTTTTGTTCTCGTTGACCTGATTTTGTGAAGGACGACAGTAATGGTTTGACTGCAATGGCTGCTGTCATGTTAAATGCAGTGACTACTGCCCTTGTGCATGAAAATCAGTGATTAAAATTTAATCGAAACTAAATAATATTCAAGCAGTAAATATTGAATGCAGATGCCATAGTAGAAATAATATACGTTTAAAAATTATTTTTTTAAAGACAACACTTCTAAAGAATCCAGTGTCTCCAATGTCAAAGATGTACAATGAAATTCTCATTTTATTTTCGAAAATTAAAAAAATTAATTTTTCAAAGTTTTTTCACATATAAAATTTTTTTCAAAATTATTTATTATGTCAATTGATTCATGCATTGCCACCGACTTCACACAAATTTCAGATCAATTGGACAGGTGGAAGTGTGTCAAATATTATTTAAAAGATTTGTAGCTGACAAAATTATTTTGTCAATTTTTTTTAATATTAAAAAAAAAAAAATTTAATTTACAAAATTATTTATTCCGTCAATTGATTCATGCATTGTCTCCAACTTTACGCAAGTGTGTAAAATTTCAGACCGATTGGACAGGTAGAAGCGTGTTAAATATCGATTATAAGATTTGTGGCAGACAAACAAACAAACAAACAACAAGAAGTGAAGTTAAAGAGAAGTGTTGTAATAAATGAATATAAATAAGCTGTTAATGTTTCAATATTTTTCATAACTGGCGATGAGACGGCGATAATTGGATGGAGGACTTTAATAGGGCTTGGGAAGCGCGGCGAAGTGATATACATAAATATATCCATCAAGACCTATCCAGTTTTAAGTTTTAAATTTTGAGTTGTTTCCATAATTTCTTAATGTTTGTCATTCAAAAATTAATTAAGCGAATTTTAAGCGCTTAAACTCTTAATTTTACTTGATAAGGAATAATGCGTGCTCGTCGGATGACGGTATCCATGAGGGTCATTCCACGCCAAGTGGTCTAAAATTGAAAAAAGTTCCCACCATCATGTCACCAATTTTCTTCATACATTAACTGTAGCACTAGTGAAGTCCTAAAGTATGTTTTCTGAAATATTAGGCCTCTAGCTGCAATAGTTGCTGATCTAGAGCTCCTTGTCTGAAGGGTAGTCAGTCCACGTGCGCGCACCATTAGACAAAATGCCATTTTTGGGGTCCAATAAAATTGAAACTAATTTATAAAAATGGCTAGTATAATGAGACCCTGTACAGTTTTTGGTGCTGATTCTGATAAAGGACTTTTAACATTACTGATGCAAAATTCAGCAAAACAAGTTGACTCAAAATGTACTTCAAAAATTGTTTTGACTCAACGCAAAAAATTTTGTCCAATATTTAGACTGCAACAATTTGCTTGCAGATCAAGATATGGACTTGAACTTTTGAACCAGTTTTATACTTGTGCTGGACATAATATAGCCAGATTTTCAGCTTCCCAGACCCTTAAGGCGTCCTGCAGGATCTCTTCAAATTTGTCAAGGTCAGCACAAATGGTCAAATTTACCGAAGTTCAAAGCCAGTTGCTAGAAAATAGTCAGCCCGAATCTGCTTGTGCATAGTATCATCTAAAAGAGAAAATATTGCTCTACAAGACTTATGTATTCTTTTTTTGTAACGCGACCATCAAGTATTTATTTCTTCAGGTCAAAATATGTTATTTTTTGTATACGCGATATGCTAATTTTTCTTAATTTCCAGGAATTTAAATCTTAATAGTCACTTATAATCAGGGTTGGCAATGATTAAATCAAAATGATTAAATCATGTGATTAAATCACTTGATTTTTTTTATAAAAAATCATGATTTTTTTTTAT